TGATGCCCAATTTGCCCTCGGCTGCAGGAGAGCCAAGAGCAGGGGCTATTCCAAGATGAAAACATCATTACAGCATGTCATGCTCTACTTCTCACAGCACCACGAGGCAGCCACGTCCTCACCCAGGGCAAGTGAGGTCCCCAATTCTCTCCCAGCTTATTGGCATCATATATAAAGTTTTATTAGTGCCAGGAGTAAAGGAGGATAACAAGATAAAAGAAATTAGGCTTACCAAATTGTGTGTCTATAAAGGAAGATTAAATCAAATCCCAAAAGGATAAAACAAAAATTGTGAGTTTTTGTTAAATTTATCATAAAAGTTGTACTGATTTTTTTTAATATAATTATTAACAGCATTCGAACAGTCTTGACCTTCTGAAGAAGCCAGGAACAATTTGGAAGACTATCTGCCTGAATCTGAACCTGTCTGGTTAATTTATAACCTGATATGATGAACCAAAGATCACCATGAATTTAAACAAATATTTACAGTTAATATCTCAACATCAAATAGCTATAAAGATTACAGCATTTCTACTAAAACACATTAATATTTCCTGTGTTAAATAACTATGATAACTAAGGTGTTTATGAATAAAATCATACAATGTTTGGGAATTATTTAAAACTAAATAATTTTAGAGAAGTGGGAATGAGGAATAAAGGGGTAATAAAAAAACTAAATTGGTTATATGTCCACAATATTTTAGTTTGGGTAATAGATATATGGGGTTTAAATACACTGCTCTACTTTTGTATATGCTTAAAATTTTCCATAATAAAAAATTTTACTAGGGCCCTAGCTGGTTTGGCTCAGTGGATAGAGTGTCCAGCCTGTGGACAAAAGGGTCCCGGGTTCAATTCTGGTCAAGGGCACATGCCCAGGTTGCAGGCTTGATCCCCAGTGGGGGGCATTCAGCAGATAGGCAACCAATGATTCTCTTTCCCCATCGATGTTTCTATCTCCTTCTCCCTTCCTCTTTATTTTACTAGAAATAAAGCGCATACATATGTACAAAAGATAAATATATCTTTAAAATATACATATGTAGTGCTATTATGTAATTTCTGAGTTCCAATAAACTACAAGCTACACTTCTTTAATAAGCTGCTAAATAACTTCCTTTTTAGCCTCTGTTCATTTCTTTTCATTTAGCCCCACTTAACCTCTGTGAACTATAATCGCAAGTAGTAGGATATCAGAAGCTATATAAGTAAATAATGTGATATTGAAGATAAAATAAAAACACACCTATACTCTCAAATTTCCATCTTTATTAGATAATAGCCCTTTTCATCTTTGATAATTATTACAACTTATAATGTTTAGATTACAAAGTTGAATGATCTATAATTTGCACTAAGCAATCTATTCTCTGTAGTCAACTAAAAGTGAAAAAAAGCAATGTACTTACAATAAAGTAATGTAACCAAATTTTTTATAGCTACAAGATTTAACAGACACTAAGACTCATATGAAAAACAAAATGAGAGCTTTCAAACTATGACACTCAGAGATGAGGCATGAACAGTTTAAGACAGATAATAATTTGGATCAGAGTAACAAAGACTAGTACTTAACATAATTTCTGAAACCCATCACTTTAAAAAAAAAAAATGTTTACCACATATTGACCCCTGAGAGAATATAAACTTCCCTGAAGCTTTGGCTGAGGAGGGAGGTGATACTCCAGGCAGCTAGAAGAACATGAGCAGAATAGAATAGGCCAGGTATCTGTCACCAGGGCAGATAGCCCCAGTTGCCTAGCAATGGGTAAAACTGGGCTGGGACCTCCCCCCATGTTGACCTTTCCTCTCCTAGCACATCCTTGGTCTTGTGGCTAGATCCCCTGACCTTTCATATCACTGGACATTCGGTTCAGATCCTCCCCTGACCTTTCCTCTCCTGACTTTTCCTCTCCTTACCTTTCATATCACTGGTCATGTGGTTCAGATCCTCCCCTGATCTTTCCTCCCCTGACATACCACTAGTCATGTAGTAGACTCCCTTAGAAGAACAGGGGAGCCCTGGCCAGTTTGGCTCAGTGGATAAAGCGTCGCCCTGTGGACTCAAGGGTCCCAGGTTCGATTCCGGTCAAGGGCATGTACCTTGGTTGCGGGCACATCCCCAGTGGGGAGTGTGCAGGAGGCGGCTGATCGATGTTTCTCTCTCATCAATGTTTCTAACTCTCTATCCCTCTCCCTTCCTCTCTGTAAAAAATCAATAAAATATATTTTTAAAAAAAGAACAGGGGAGAGAATAGCCTCATAGGACTTCCATACAAGCCCTTACACAACCACTGCCTTAAGCATTAAGCCCTAAGGCCAGTCAGGTTCTGGCCCACATCAAATCACCTTAGAAACAAAGCCTCCAGCCTGTTGGTCCAACTAGAGATAATATCTAGGCCTCAGCTGTGTTTCAGCTCTAGGCCCAGAAAAGCAGCAAGGCCAGGCAGAGCTAAGCATTGACTAATGACCTCCTGCCCTGACACCACCAATCAGTGGAGAACTGGACCTGAGAGGAACACCTGGAAAGCTGATGAATATTCTAATGAATCCTCCCCTGAAGCCTCCAGAAAAAAGCCCTTCAGAGGAAGGGCCTGCATGGTTCTCTCACTCTGGAGCACACCCATGCCTTTCTGACTCCCTTCTTTGACAGTTTTCTCTCTCTCTCTCTCTCTCTCTCTCTCTCTCTCTCTCTCTCTCTCTCTCTCTCTGTCATTATTCTTAGATGGCATGATATTATACCTAGACAACCTTAAAAATTCCACCAAAAAATTACTAGAGTTATTAAATTAATTCAGCAAAATAGCAGCATACAAATTTGATATCCAGAAATCAATGACATTTTTACACACCAATAATGATCTGAGAGAGAAACTAAAAACAATCCCATTTACCATTGTAACAAAAAAATTTAAGATACTTATGAATAAACTTAACCAAAGAGGTAAAAGACCTGTACTCAGAAAACTAGGGGACATTGGACAAATGTAGTGCTATTATGTAATTTCTGAGTTCCAATAAACTCAAACAAAAAAATGGACGACACAAACAAATGGAAGCATAGTCCATGTTTATGGATTGGAAGAATTAATATTATTAAAATGTCTATAGTAGCCAAAGCAATCTACAGATTAAATGCAATCTGTATTGAAATACCATTGGTATATTTCACCGATCTAGAAAAAATAATCCAAAAATGTATATGGAGCCAAAAAGACCCCGAATAGCCACAGCAATCTTGAGAAAGAAGAACAAAGTTGGAGGCATCACAATACCAGCTGTCAAGTTATACTACAAAGCCACTATATGCAAAACAGCCTGGTACTGGCACAAGAACAGGTATAGGTAGATCAGTGGAACTGAACAGAGAACCCAGAAATCAACCCAATCCATGATGTTCAATTAATATTTGACAGAGACAAGAGCATGCTATGGAATCAAGACAGTCTCTTCAATCAATGGTGTTGGGAAAATTGGACAGGTACACGGAAAAAGAAAATGAAATTATACCACCAACTTACACCGTACATAAGAATAAACTCAAAATGGATAAAACACTTAATTGTAAATCATGAAACCATAAAAGTCTTAGAAGAAAACATAGGCAGCAAAATCTTAGATATCTCTCATAGTAGAATTTTCACAGATACATTGACTAGAACAAGAGAAACAAAGGAAAAAATAAACAAATGGAACCACATCAAACTAAAAAGCTTCTGCACAGCAAAAGAAACCAGATTTAAAAAGCAAATGAAACCAGCTGCATCAGGTAAGAGGTTAGTTCCCAAAATGTATAAAGAACTCATACAACTTAACAAAAGGAAGACAAGTAACCTTATTTAAAAATGGGCAAAGAACTTAAATAGACACTTCTCCAAAGAGGACATACAGATGGCCAAAAGACATGGAAAAGTGCTCAAAGTCACTAATCATCAGAGATTCAAATTAAAACAACAATGAAGTACCTCCTCACACCTGTCAGAATGGCTACCATCAATAAAACAAACAAGTGCTGGCAAGGATGTGGGAAAAAGGGAACCCTAGTACACCGCTGGTAGGAATGCAGACTGGTACAGCCACTATGAAAAACAGTATGGAATTTCCTCAAAAAAATTAAAAATCGAACTGCTGTTTGACCTCAATGACCCCACTTCTAGGAATATATTCTAAGAATCCCGAAACACCAACCAGAAAGAATATCTGCACCCCTATGTTCATAGCAGTGTTATTTACAATCGCTAAGCTCTGGAAACAGCCCAAGTGCCCATCAGTAGGTTAAGGGATAAAAAAAGAACTGTGGTACATTACACAATGAAATACTATGCAATTGTAAAAAAGGAGGATCTCTTACCCTTTGAGACAGCATAAAGGGCCTGGAGAGTATTAGGCCAAGCGAAATAAGCCAGTCAAATATCTCATGAGCTCCCTTATATGTAGAATCTAATGAACAAACAAAATAGGCCCAGAGGCATGGAAGCACGGCACAGACTGAATAACATCAGAGGGACGGGTAGAAGGGGGAGGGTAGGCAGAGAATAACCAAAAAGCTTACATGCATACTAGAGGCCCAGTGCACTCAGGGGGGTCTCTCAGCTGCACACCTGCCACAGCATTGCCGGTCAGTGGCCTGGGCCTCCCTCTTTCTTTCTTTCTTTTTTTTTTTTTAAGTAAGAGTAATGTTTACTGAGCAATACAGAACTGAGTACTATGAAGGGTTTACCAGGATGGAAATGCACTGCACCCGCCCCTGCCACCCCCAACACCCAGAGACTACAGTACTTAGGAGTTACACGCAACAGCCATAACTGCTGAATATTTGTTTGTAACAAATAAACCATAGCATATTTATACTGTATCACATGGAGTAATTATAGAAATCCCCTTATATATTGCTTGTATAAAATCTTTTTTGTGTGTGTAAAAAATGTTTTTTAAAAAAGTATAAAAAACATGTGCAGTTGAAAGCCCTGCCAGGACAGCCAGTCTGTAGACATTCAGTGAGTATGTGCTTTGGAAGGGCGCCCGCGCCTCGTGCCCACAGCAACTCCAGCAGGACCAGCGAGGGTGCACCCTGGCTGGCACTCCAGGCAGGACTGAGTTGGACCATGGTGGGTGGGTACAGCAGGGCCTGGCACTGTGCCCTTCTCCAGCCTTGCACCAGGATCAGGATCAGGATCAGGATCAGGGTCAGGGTCAGGGTCAGGGCTGGGGGCAGGCAGATTGCAGTTTCACTCTGAGTCCCAAACTCAGCCTAATTCTGGTTGAAACTCATGGCTTTTCCTGGCTGCTCGGAGGTCCTTTGGATGGGTGCCTGGCGGAGAGGCCAGGGAAGCGCCCACAGCTGCCTGGTTGGGTGTCTCTCCCGCCCAGAGCCTCTGTCCTGCCTCCCGCAAGCCTGGCCCCAGGCAGAACAGGCCCCTCGGGACTACTTTGGTCTCAGCTCTTGGTCCTGGGTTTCTTCCCCTGGTGTGGCTGATCTGAGTTTCACAAAATAGCCTGGCCGATGCTGGCTGTGCTGAGCCTCATTGAAGAGTTTTTCATGCAGCAAGAAAGAGCCCTCTGGGACCCTCCTCCTCCTCCCTCTCCTCATCTCCTCCTCCTCATCATCTCCTCCTCCTCCTCCTCCCAGCCCATGACCACTTCTTCTCCAGCTGCTCCAGCAGTGGGTTGCCTTCTAAGTCAGGGGTCTTAACGCTGTCGGTCCTGACGATGCAGGTGGGGTGATGCCGGCTGAGCATCAGGATGAGCTGCTGCTGCTGCCACTCCTGCTTCAGCTCCTCCATCTGGGTTTTCAGCTCTGCATTCATGTGCTCCAGCCACTCAGATTCCCGCTGCAGAAGCTCCTTCCGCTCCTTCTTCTTGTTTTGGCACGGGGCTGCCGCTCCTTCTTCTTGTTTTGGCACGGGGCTGCCGCCACTTTGTTCTTTTCCCGGCCCCTTTTCCGCCGCACTATTTGTAAAATGCCAATCACATAAAATTTTCATGATGATTCAATGTTATAGCAAATATATATCCAGGGATTTAAGTCTTTATATTTAGTGCCCATCCACTCCTTCTCAGCTCATTATAATATGATTTTAATTCTCTATTCATTAAAGAAAACTATAATTACCATTCAATATATGCAAAGCTTTTTTAAAATTGATTTTTAGATAGCGGAAAGAAGAAAGAAAGTGAAACATTGATTTGCTGTTCCACTTATTTATGCATTCATTGGTTCCCCGGAGCCTGCAGGCTGGGGGAAAGGACCCAGAGGCCAGTCTGATTGCAACATGGCTCCAGTTCCCCAGAGTCTGCAGGCCGGGGGGAGGGACCCAGAGGCCTGTGGGCCAGGAGGAGGAACTCAGAGACCAGTCCGACCGTGGCATGGCTCCGGTTCCCCAGAGCCTGCAGGGCGGGGGGAGGGGGGGGGAACGAGAGGTGCTCCATGCATCTCATGGTGACCAGTCATTTGGTCATTTTGGTTGTGACACCTCTGGCCTTTTATTATTATGATATGCTTAATCCCGGGACACAGGTAATAGAAGGCCTAGGGTCGGGTGGGAATTGGGTAGAGGGTGCAAAGGAGGGGAATGAGTGACATATGTAATAACCTCAACAATAAATATAAATATTTTTTTAAAGTTATATGAAAGAAAAGTACCACAAGGGTCCCTAACCCCATCTAAGAGACTTAGAGAGGGCTACCTTGAATCAGAGATGTCTACACTAAAATCTAAAAATTAAGAGTTATATATGCCTAGTGTCCCAATGTTAAAATAATTATACATTATTATGAATTATCTTAAACACTCATGTAAAGATGAAAAATTCTTTTTTCTATCTAACACTTAGAGTAGCAATTCCATGTAGTACCTATTACCTTTACATCAATAAAAAGAAAATTAACAGTATCCTAGAAGTCAAATTCAGTTTACATGTAATGGTAAGAGAAGGGAAGCTACAAAGCCCAAATTTTATCAAACAACCTAAAATGTTTCAGACCAGCAGCTGAACTGGAAAAAACATGAATTTATAATCAAACAAACTTCCAATTAAATCCCTGCTCCCCTAACTAAGAATTGAATAACATCAAATAAGGCAGCTCTATACCTTATCTGTTAATAGGAAACATGATATCTACCTCACTGGTTGTAGTGAAGACTGAATCAATAAGTGTACAAAGTCTCTGATATTCACTAGGCACTCCATATGGGTTAGTTTCTTCCTACTGAATGGGGAAACCAGTTTTATCTTAATCCTATAAAACAAAGAGCTAATATGCAAATGGTCATCATGCCCTCATTCCCTTGTGCCAGGGCCGGGGGACTGAGGCTGCTCCCCCTGCCCTGGCGCCAAGCCAGGGGGCCTGAGGCTGTGCCCCCCGCATGGTGTATGATCTTTCTAATGTAATGGTGGATCCAATTTGCTAGAATTTTGTTAGGATTTTAGCATCTATGCTCATCAGGGATATTGGCCTGTAATTCTCTTTCATTGTGTTGTCTTTATCTGGCTTTGGAATTAGGGTAATGCTGGCTTCATAGAAAGAGCTTGGAAGTGTGCCTTCCTCTGGAATTTTTTGGAATAGTCTGAGAAGGATAGGTTTATTTCTTCTTTTGAATGTTTGGTAAAACTCCCCTATGAAGCCGTCTGGCCCCGGGCTTTTGTTTACTGGAAGTTTTTTGATGACTGCTTCAATTTCCTCCTTAGTTATTGGCTTGTTGAGATTTTTTTTATTCTTCTTGGTTGAGTTTTGGAAGGTCATATTTTTCTAGGAATATGTCCATTTCCTCTAGTTTGTTGTCTAATTTGTTGCAGTAGAGTTGTTCATAGTATTTTTTAACAATCCTTTGTATTTCTGTGGGGTCTGTTGTTATTTCACCTCCTTCATTTCTGATTTTGTTTATTTGGGTCCTCTCTCTTTGCTTCTTGGTAAGCCTGGCAAGAGGTTCATCAATCTTGTTTATCCCTTCAAAGAACCAGCTCTTGGTTTCATTGATCTTTTGTATTGTTTTTTGTGGTTGGTTTTTTTTGTTTGTTTGGGTGTTTTTGTTTGTTTGTTTGGTCTCTATGTCATTTATTTCTGCCCTGATCTTTATTATCTCCTTCCTTCTGCTCACTCTGGGCTTTTCTAGCAATTCTCTCTTTCTAATTCTTTAAGTTCTAGAGTTAGATAATTTATTACTATTTTTCTTGTTTTTTGAGGTGGCCTGTAGAGCAATCAACTTTCCTTTCAGGACGGTTTTCACTGTGTCCCATAGGTTTTGGATTGTTGTGTTTTCATTGTCATTCAGTTCCAGGATGTTTTTAATTTCTTCTTTGATCTCTTTGGTAACCCAATCATTGTTTAATAACATGCTACTGAGCCTCCAAGTGTTTGAATGTTTTTGATTGTTTTATTGTAGTTTATTTCTAATATTAAGCCATTGTGGTTTGAGAAGATGCTTGATATGATTTGAATCTTCTTGAATTTGGAGAGACTTTGCCTGTGCTCCAATATGTGGTCTATCTTTGAAAATGTCCCATGTGCACTTCAGAAGAATGTATATTCTGTAGATTTGGGGTGAAATGTTCTGAAGGTATCGATTAAGTCTGTCTGATCTAGTGAGTCATTTAGGATTTCTGTTTCTTTGCTGATTTTTTTGTCTAGAGGATTTATCCAGTGGTGTCAGTGGGGTATTAAAGTCCCCTACTATGGTTATATTGCTGTCGATCTCTCCCTTTATTTCTTCTAGAAGTTTTTTTATGGATTTTCGTGCTCCTGAATTGGGTGCATAAATATTTACAAGAGTTACATCCTCTTGTTGTATCGATCCCTTTAGTATTATGAAGTGGCCTTCCTTATCTCTTGTTATGGCCTTCACTTATATTTTATCAGATATAAGTATTGCTACCCCAGCTTTTTTTTTTTTTTATTTCTATCTGCCTGAAAGATATTTTTCCAGCCCTTCATTTTCAGTCTGTGTGAGTCTCTTGTTCTGAGGTGGGTCTCTTGCATATATAGGATCATGTTTTCTTATCCATTCAGTCACTCAATGTCTTTTGTTTGGAGCATTTAGTCCATTTACATTTAAAGTTATTATTGATAGGTAATTGTTTGTAGCCATTTTTATTTTTTGTGCCTGTTTTCCTTCTTCCCCCTTTTGTTTTCCTTCTTTTTACAACAGCCCCTTTAGAATTTCTTGCATTTCTGGCTTGGTATTGATAAATTCCCTTAGCCGTTTTTTGTCTGTGAAGTTCCTGATTTCCCCTTCAATTTTGAATGATAGCCTTGCTGGATAGAGTATTCTTGGATTCAGTTCCTTGCTTTGCATTATTTTGTATATTTCATTCCATTCCCTTCTGACCTGAAGTGTTTCTGTTGAGAAATCATTTGATAATCTAATGGGAGATCCTTTGTAGGTAACTCTCTGTCTCTCTCTTGCAGCCCTTAAGATTCTTTGCCATAAACGTTTGCCATTGTAATTATGACATATCTTGGGGTGGGTCTTTTGGGATTCAACTTATTTGGGACTCTCTGTGCTTGTGTCACTTTTTTCTTCCCCATATCAGGGAAGTTTTCTGTCATTACTTCTTCAAATAGGTTCTCTAATCCTTGCTGCTCTTCTTGTCCTTTTGGCACCCCAATTATAAGTATGTTACTTTGTTTCATGTTGTCCCAAAGCTCCCTTGGGCTCTCCTCCTCCTTTCTAATTTTTTTCTCCATTTGCTGTTCAGATTCGGCTTGTTTCTCTACCCTATCTTCTAGCTCACTAATTCAGTCCTTTGCTTCTCTTACTCTACTGTTGAAACCTTCTATCATGTGTTTTATTGTAGCTGTATCACTTTTGATTTCCTGATTCTTACATAGGTTGTTGATTTTCTTGTCCATCTAGTTTATGAACTGTATGACAATTATTCTGAATTCTTTTTCTGACATATTGCATGCCTCTGTTTCATTTATTTCCTTTGGGAGGGGGATTCCTCCTTTTCTTTCCTTTGGGGGTTGCTTTTTGTCTCCCCATTTTTGCTGCCCCTGAAGGGTCCAGTGGTTAAGTTGCATGACACCTGAGCTGTGGGGAAGGCTTGGTGGGAGTGTAGCGCACCCTGACAGTCAAGGGCAGGCTCAGGGTATTGGGAGACCTGGCGGCACAGGTCAGCAGAAACCCCGTGAGCACCGCGAGTCAGGGGCCAGCTCAGGTGTCCAGGAGACATGGCCACTGATAGTTAGGGGCCAGCTGGGGTGTCTGTGACATGTGGCCAGTGGGAGCCATGGATGCCAATAGTCTGGGCCAGCTCAGGTGCGTGGGAGGTGCAGCCAGCGAGAGCCATGGACAGGCATATGCGCAGACACTCAGTGCTGGCTCCGGTGTCCGAGAGGTGCGGCTGATGGTACAAAGAAAATTTTTATTGATTTTTAGAGAGAGAAAGGGAGGGAGGAAAGCATTGATGTGAGAAAGAAACATCAACTGATTGCCTCACACACATGGCCAGAATAGGGATAAAACCTACAACCTGGATATGTGTCTTGACTGGGAATTGAACCCACCAACTTTTGGTGTACTGGATGACACTCCAACCAACTGAGCCACATGGGCCAGGGCTACAAAGGAATTTCAAAGGGTCATTTTTCTTAACACATTGTATGCGGGAAATGTATTTATACATTTTACTTATACGTTTTTACGTTGACTGGTAGTAGAGCACTGGACACGTATTAATACGTTTTTTATAGACTAGCAGTAGGATGCAGGTAACGTATAAATAAGTAAACTAAAGTTATCATAATTTTACTGAACGTTGCCATTTGCGCAAAAAATTAGCAAAAATGGCCCGCGCCACCTGTTAGCGCGCAATAAAAACTACCTGCAAACAATGTGTTAAATGAGGCCACTAACAACTTTCAAGAAAACAGTTTTAATTAAAAGATAGAGTTGAAAATGAGTAAGAATGTGAGAGTGAGAAAGTGGAAGCAGAGTATAACTATACTTCCAAAAAGTATAATAAAACAACTTAATTATTCTACAATGAAATATTCCTTAAAGTCTGGAAGATATAGTAGAATACTATAGGGCCATTAAAAGAAATGATAAAAAGAAAACATGCTGACAGAAAAAGATGCCAAATACATTTTTAAGCGTTTTTTTAAAAACATACAACAAAGAACACTTGCATGCACTAATATCAAGCCTCAAAGTATGTAAAGCAAAAAGTAAGAAAAGAACTATAAGAAATGAATAAATTTATAATAATGATTAAGCATATCTTCCAGACTTTCACTAATATTTTATTGTAAAATATTTAATAAACTTCCTGGGACACTCCATTTCCCACAAACAGCCAAGCAAGTGTGATTCCAGAGGACCTCTGGCCCACAGCACCAGTGGTCACAGCCACATAAGGTCATATGGGGCACCAGGTACTTGCCTACCATCATCCAGGGACTACTCTACTGAGCACAGCCAGAGACCCAGAGACTCAGAGACCCAGAACCATTGGGAGGTGGATGATGAGCTCACACATCCAGAGAGTCATAAGAGTAGCTCCTCAACAGTGATGAAAAGGGCTCCCCAGGCTGCAACACAGTTGAAAGGGACTAGCTTTTTACCAAAAGGAATAAAAGTATTTCTATTTTAACTGTTGGCATCACCTGAATAGTGGGTACTGGTTGCATATTAGTCCTGAATTTTCCTTAAGGAAACTTTTCAATGCAACAATTGATTCATCACAAGGGGAAAAAAAAGAAAGGAAAATAAATGATAGTGAAAATAAACAGCTACAAGAAATGTGAGTGAGAAAAACATATAGTTGAGAGAAAAGTCATGAAAGAATACATACACTAAGATTTCATTCATATAAAGTTTTTAAGTAAAACTATACAATACTTATAGAGGAGCATAAGTCATAAAAATGCAAAGAAATAATTATTAGGGTTGTGAAGGAAAAGGATGGGCACAGGAAGGATTCTGAAGCAGTGGGAATGTCCTTTATAATTTTGTGTTAACTCATATGTAAATGTAATAAACTTTTACCTATCAAATTATATCCTATAAATTAAAATCCTAATATGCTAAGTGCCCAGTCATCCAGTTGGCCGTTCATCCAATCAAAGCATAATATGCTAAGGCCACTCAACTACTCGCTATGACGTGCACTGACCACCAGGGGGCAGATGCTCCCACTGGTAGGTCAGCTTGCTGCTGGGGTCCGGCTGATCCGGACTGAGCAAGATGGGCCAGACACACCCTAGAGCCTTCCTGCGGTCCCTTCCTGGCTGGACAATCTCCCGTGTCCTTTTTCTGCCCTGATTGTGCACCGGTGTGGTACCTCAGCCTGGCCTACATCTTCTTGCAATCCTGGACCCTTCGGGGGATGTCAGAGAGCTGGTTTTGGCCCGACAGTGGAACGATGGGTCGCTATGATGCACACTACCACCAGGGGGCAGACGCTCAATGCAGGAGCTCCACAGGAGAGCACCACTCAGCCAGAAGCCGGGCTCATGGCTGGCGAGTGCAGCGGCGGTGGCGAGAGCCTCTCCCACCCCCATGGCAGTGCTAAGGATGTCCAACTGACAGCTTAGGCCCATTCCCCACAGGCCTAAGCCGTTAGTCGGACATCCCCCTATGCCTCCTGGACTGCGAGAGGGTGCAGGCCAGGCTGAGAGGACCCCGCTGCCCCAAATGCAGGAATTTCATGCACCAGGCCTCTAGTTTTCCAGTAAAAGGAAAAAAGTAAACAAAAATCTCCTCCAAATAATGGCTGGGAGCAAAGGCTGTTTGCAGCTGAAATACGATAGCACAAATGACATGATGAAATACCACAGAGATGCATACCAACAAAAAAGGAAAGTGATTGGAGAATAAAAGAGCAGGGATAGTATTTATTCAATGGCAGTTCAATCCAAGATACAGAGAAAGCATCCTGGACAGAAGTGAAAGAACTTCTTAAATCAGAGACAAGCTTCCAAGGCGAGTTTCCTAAAGAAAAATGGGCAGCAAGGGCAAAGTAAGCTAATGTACTGTTTCTTTGTTCAATTCTTCTTTATTTGTATATTTTTGCTAAAAAGCTTCCATTTAAGCTAATCTCAGAAAGGAATCCATTTAAAGTTAATCAAAAGCACCCTCTTCATGCTAGAAATTTACTCTAAGAAAATGATTGTGGATTTGCCATAATGCTTACTACAAGGGTGTTAAATTAAATATGATTTATAATGGCTAAAAAAGAGAGAGAGATTTGGTTAACTATGCTCTAACCATAAAATAGCATTTGTACTTGTTAAAAGTAGTGTTAGAGGACAATATGCAAAATATTCATAGAATATTAATAAGTAGATTAAAAATATCACATACAATAAGGTCCCATTTGGGGTTCACTCAATGGATTTAACTCATAAAATTACAAGTGGATTTTATTTCTTTTTTTTTTTTTTTTTTTTTTACAGAGAGGAAGGGAGAGAGATAGAGAGTTAGAAACATCGATGAGAGAGAAACATCGACCAGCCGCCTCCTGCACATCCCCCACTTGGGACATGCCTGCAACCCAGGTACATGCCCTTGACCAGAACCGAACCCGGGACCCTTCAGTCCGCAGGCCAATGCTCTATCCACTGAGCCAAACCGGTCTTGGCTTTATTTCTTTTCTTATTTGTATTTTGAAACTTCCCATAGTTACTATATATTGCATCTGTAAATAAGATTAATGATATTTTAAAATATAATTCAAAATTACATAATAATAGTAAAAAATATATGTATTCATGTTGTCAGAGACTGGGAAAATCACATCAAAAGCAGAAATTAAAATGCTACTTAATTTCTTTTTATACATTTTTACCCAAATTCTTGCAGAAAGACCAATTTTTTATTTAATTTATATTCTACTGATAATTTTACTAATTATTTAAACCTCTCTTCTCAAACTTTTATGTGCATATGAGTCACCTAGATCTTGTTCAAATGATGATTCTTAATTAGGGGATTTGGGACAGGGCTTGTAGGTCTAACAAGTTCCCTGGTGATATCAGTAACTTCTGGTCTAAGGGAGAATCATACTATGAGTAGCAAACATGTAAAACCACATTTATGTTGTAGCAATGAGGACTCAGGTAATTCAGAGCTGATAACAAATCATTCAGTCAGTAAATACTTATTGGCCAAACCCTATGAATTTATCCTCTCTTTTACTGAAGGGGGAAAAGATCAAAGCACTATATTAAAGTAAGCTTTAATGCTAAAGATTCTTTTCAAAAATTAAAAGGGCACCCAGGCCAGTGTGGCTCAAGTGGTTGGGAGTCGCCCGTGCACAAAGGGTTGCCTGTTCGATTCCTGAAGAGGGGCCTGCGGAAGGCAGCCAGTCACTCTCAGATCATGATTCTCTCCCTTCCTCTCTCTAAAAATCAATAAACTACTCTTTTTTTAAAAAAGTGCAATGACTATAATGTAAATCATGATTTCTTATTTTCAATGAACATTCCTTTTCTTTAATTTAATGTAGTTATATGAAACATCCAACCACAAGTTATGGTATCAACATGCTTTTTAATTTTTTCCCATAATATTCTCTTTCTGTCTCCCTTCCTCCCATCCTCCACCCCAACCTCTCCCTTCTCTCTCCACTTCTCTCACTCTGTCCCTCTCTCTCTCCCAGGTTATTAAATGCAAAGCAGCCATCGCCTGGGAAGCAAACAAGCCCCTTTGCATAGAAGAGGTTGAGGTAGCTCCCCCCAAGGCACATGAAGTTCGAATTCAGGTGAGTGGGGACTCTCCCTGGCCAGGACACAGGCCATGGGTGGGCAACCTTTTTGTGAGTGCATGCCAAAACCAGCAAAATCTCTGACTCAAAATTCTTCTGCTGTGCCAACCCTAATTTTTTGAGAACATGTTACACCTACTTGATAACTCTTAAGGTGTACATATGTGAAGAACCTTGAAGAAATAATAAAATTCATTCGAGCGACAAAAACACAGTATATGATGATGAAAAATACATTTATTTTTTAATGTATACATGTACACTGATAGTCCGACAGAAAACTTTAGGACTCCGTTTGGTATTATCAGTGGGACTTTTGCTGCTGCATCACTGATGACAGAGATTTTACATCAGGTTGATATTTCATGACCTTCAGAGATATGCACGAGCTACTACTTTCATCCGTCAGGCTACTCCTATTATGAGACTTAACAAAATTCATCACTGAGAACAAAGATTCACAAGCGTATGTGGATGAAACCAAAACACTGGTCGGATCTAGGAAGGCAGGGAGAGTTAAGGCAGAGGCATAGAAATTGCTCTTCCCCTCTCTCGTCAATCCATGTCTATGGTCTTTAAGATAACTTGTTATGTAAAATTATTTATTTATCTAAGATGCACCTACACTGAATTTATCTGAAAAATTAAAAAATCGATATTAAGAAAAAAATTGTAAATGGAAGATTATAAGAGAGGGATTCTCGTGCCAGCAAAAGTTACTGGCGTGCCATGTTTGGCACGCGTGCCAGGGGTTGCCCACCCCTGCACTAGGCACTAACTAGGGGCAGACTTGGCTCTGTCAGGTCATGTCTATGTGATGTGACTGGGAAGCCCTGCAGTTCTCAGTGTGGGCGATTGTATCTTTAGATTCAGATACAAACAGGCCTTATCTCAAGAGGGGTAAATCATTAGTTATTCATCAGTAGTCATTGATAATGGGCCTTAGTTAAAATTTAACTAAAGCACCTTAACATTAATCATTAACCTTAAAAAATCAGCTTAAGGAATTTCCATTGGATTACAATTAGTTATGTTTTCTTTTTGTTTTCCTCTTGCCAATTATTGGAAAGTGTTATTAAAAGGAAGACAGAGAATTTGGTTCAAAATAATGGAAAAGAAAACCTGAAGAGCTGCCCTAGGCAGCACAGGGTCTTGGGTGCAGATGAAGGGACGGCAGTGGGTGAGCAGGGAGAAGAGCCCACGCTCAGTGGACAGATCATCAACGGCAAGTTGGGGTCATGTCTCCATTTCCCCAGAGCTGGCTGCCCAGGCTGTTTTCCCTCCAACCACCACAGGAAGGGCTTATACATGAGGATGAATGGGATACCCTCATGAGCAGAATCTTGAAGAATATAGAGATACAGCAGTAATTAATTTAGACCATTTTTTATTTGATTTTTAACTATAAAATTTTTATTACCTCTGTTTCATTTCATCTCATTTCAACAAAATTTGAACAAGGCCTAGAAACCTGTGTTCTCTCCATTCCTCTGCCTGTTAGACTTTGTTTAAATTTTCCCTATTGTCTTTGATTTCCCCTCTCCTGGAGACAGTAACTGCCAATTTTATCTCTTTTTATAATTTTCTAGTAACAGTAAAAGGCAGAAAAGTGAGGTATAAAAGGAAAAGAATACATCCTAATATATATTATTGATTTCAGAGAGAGGGAGAGAGCTAGAAACATCAATGATGAGAATCATGGATTGGCTACCTCCTGCACTCCCCCAATTGGGGAACTCCAGCCTGCAACCAGGGCACGCGCCCTGACTGGGAGTTGAACCTGACCTCCTGGTTTGCAGATTGCCACTCAACCACTGAGCCACAGTGGACGGGCTACCCTAATGTTTTTGTTTGATTTTTTTTTCCAAAGTGTTATTTCTTTTTTGAGCTCTAAGAGTGTTGTAAAGTCTCCTGGTGACATTGAAATTAGCCTAAAATTATCCACTTTACAACCCCAATGATATAATTACAGAAATAACTCCAGTATGCGGTTGCTTTGTAGATAATTGCCACTGCCTTGTGCCATACCGAAGCCCATATTCTCCATCCTAAATTTACGGAGGCTTTTTTCCCAGTGATCCTTGGCCATGAGGGGGCAGGTATTGTGGAAAGTGTTGGGCCAGGAGTGACCAACTGCAAACCAGGTATTTTATTTTCTCATTCCAATAAGTGGGAATGTCAGGATATTTCAGGAATAATCCTGATAGATTCCTGGCTTTGCATGCTATATTGATCTCTGTTTACATAAGGGACCATCTTTTCCAAAGCAAAAGTGAGACACACAATCTATCACAGTCTAACAATGAGACAGAATACTTGAATCAGAATTGTCTGGTAAAATCTGGGGGAGATGGTCACTTTATTTACATACTAGAAGCCCAATGCACGAAATTCGTGCAAGAGTACGCCTTCCTTCCCCCAGCTGCCAGCACCGGCTTCCCTCTGGCACCCAGGACCTGAGCTTCCTTCCAGCTGCCGGCAGGTACTCGGGCTTCCCTTGCAGCCCCGGCTTCATCCATAAGGTAGTCCGGAAGGACCTCTGGTCTAATTAGCATATTATGCTTTTATTATTAAAGATTATTATAGACTAGAGGCCCAGTGCACAAAATTTGTGCATGGGGGGTGGGGGGTCCCCTCAGCCCAGCCTGCAACCTCTCCAATCTGGGACCCCTCAGGGAATGTCCGACTGCCTCTCGCAATCCAGGACCTATTCCTCATATAAAATGTAATAAATAATAGTCATGTTGTAGAGAGCTACAAGGAGCAGTCTTAGGTAGGACTCTTCACCTGATGGTATCAGTACAGACTTGGTGCTTGACTGCCCAGCAGGGAAAAATGAAAAAGTATAGGTAATACAAGGGGAAGTCAGCACTCTTATAGAGTAATAAAATGTTTTGCCACCTATACTCTGCTGAACATAAAATGTATACCCTAAGGCAGTGGTCGGCAAACTCATTAGTCAACAGAGCCAAATATCAACAGTACGACGATTGAAATTTCTTTTGAGAGCCAAATTTTTTAAACTTAAACTATATAGGTAGGTACATTGTTATTAACTTAATTAGGATACCCCTAAGGCTTAGGAAGAGCCACACTCAAGGGGCCAAAGAGCCACATGTGGCTCGCGAGCCGCAGTTTGCCGACCACGGCCCTAAGGTATGGTGTTTTCCACTGATTCATCTGGTAGAAATTATTTATAGGTAACATTTACAAGTAACGTTTACAGGCACCAACCAACATATGGCCTTTCTTTCTAGGTGACAAAGTGATTCCTCTCTACATGCCTCAATGTAAAAAATGCAAGTTCTGTTTGAGTCCACTCACAAATTTCTGTGCAAAGCTCAGGTAAGCTCTACACACTGTTAGTGAGAGTATACATTGGTACCAATATTTTGGGCAGAACATTGGCAAAGCATAAAAGGAGTTGAAGGTGTGCGTATTTCTACCCACCAATTCTACTCAGGTGAGTGCAAGGAACTGTTGCAAAATCACCCAGGGAGACGTGTGCTAGAATGTTCACTGCAACATTGTTTATTACAGCAAACTACTCAAAAGAGCACAAATGTCCTTCGATAAGAGAATACGTTAACACAGCGATTTTCAACCTTTTCCATCTCATGGCACACATAAACTAATAACTTAAATTCTGCAGCACACCAAAAATATATATTTGTGCCAACCTGACAAAAAAATATATAGGTATACTTTTCAGCGCAGGGGGGGAACATATGTAATACTTTCAATAATAAAGAATTGTTATATTATAAATACATATAATTTTGATTCAGTCGCACCAGTCAGCTATTGTTGTACTGGCTGTTGCCATTTATTTATTCAACAATCTAAGGGAAAAAAGGTCAGTGCCCCTGACTAAATAGTCAGGTGTTGCAGGTTTTAAAAACTTTTGCAGCACACCAATGTACCTCAGCATAATGGTTTAAAATCACTGGATTAACAAATTGCTATGTAATAACACACTAGAATACTATTCAACTATACAAACGGCTAAACTTGATCTATATGTATCAGCATAGAATACAGTATTCCCCCTTACCTATGGTTTCACTTCCCAAGGTTTCCGTTTCCCATGGTAAACTGTGATCTGAAAATATTAAATGGAAGAATCCCGAAATAAACAATTCATAGTTTTAAAGTGCATGCCATTCCCAGCAGGGGGATTTCATCCCACCCCATCCCATCCCTAAAGTGAATCATCTCTTTGTCCACCTTATATGCCCCCAGCCCATTAGTCACTTAGTAATCATTTTGGTTATTAGGTCCACCACCATATCTCTGTGCCTCTGTTCAGGTAACCCTTATTTTACTTAATAATGGCCCCAAAGTGTAACAGTAGTAATGCTGGTGATTCATATATGCCAAAGGGATTTGGCAAAGTACTTCCTTTAACTGAAAAGGTATGTACATTTGGGGGTGAAACTATATATATAGGGTTCAGTACTATCCAGGGTTTCAGGCATCCACTGGAGGTCTTGGAACATATTCCACAGGGATAAGGGGGGACCAACTGTGATCTCACACAAATAATGTTGAGAGAAAGAAGCAAGTCGCTGACAGATATATTTAGTATGGCATCACACACAAAAACAATATCATATATTGTTTATGGTTACATGTGTATTAGTAAAGGTATAAATACATCACTGGAATGATAAATGCCAGATTCAGCATAGCAGCTACCACTACGGAAGAGGACAGAGGAATGCAATGAGGCACAGTAAAGCAATTTATTCCAAGGCCACATAGGTATGTCTTAGGACTAAATTTTGAATCTAGGCCATTAGCTGCAGAGTCCAAAAATGTTAATCACTTTATTCTTTACTGTCCTGAGACTATAGAAAGGTTCATTTGTCCTTCATGCTAACTGACACTAGCTATGGTACTACTCTTACATCTATTACTGTGCCTCAATTTCCTCATCTATGAGATGGGGATAGTACTGCTGCCTATTTCACAGGGTTGTTGCAGATGTTCAAAGAATCAATAGATGCTTTTGCAAACCTTTAATGAAATAACAAATTCAGACAATGACCATCAATTCTTTCTGACATCACAAAAAGACAGATAAAGTATGTGCCTCTAGATAAAAACATACACCACCTATGAAGTACTCTTACAAAAATTTAAAACCCAAATCAGACCAAGAATTTAGATAAAAGAAGCTAGAGGAAATTTAGGGATGGAGAAACACGTTAAACCAGATTACAGCAATGTAATCAGAAAAAATCCAGAATGAGGAAAATTAAACTGCAAGGAAAAAAACAAGGGGGGAGGTGAGAATCTGTCAATTAAAAGGGATACAAGAAACATATCCAACTAGACGCCATGCGTGGAGTTAGAACAATCTTTATCTTTTAGAGATACATGCTGAAATATTTACAATGAAATAGTGATGTCTGGGATTTCTTCAAGATAGTCCGCAATAGGGAGAGAGTAGGTGGTGGTGTTGAAGGATGTAAGTGAATTATAGATGACACTAGATCAACCATGACTTGCTAATTGCTGAAGCTGGGAGATGCTTACATGGAGGTTCATTCTGCTATTCTTTCTACGTTTGTATTTGTTTGGGTTTTTCATAATAATTTTTTTTTAAAGAATCAATACATGGTTTGGAAACAGCCTAAGTGCCCATCAGCAGATGAGTGGATTAAAAAAACTGTGGTACATCTACACAATGGAATACTATGCCGCTATAAAAAGGAGGAACTTTTACCATTTGCAGCAGCATGGATGGAACTGGAGAGCATTATGCTAAGCGAAATAAGCCAGTCAGAGAAAGATAAATATCACATAATCTCACTCATAGTGGGATATAATGATCAACATAATTTGATGAACTGTTGGGGTCCAGTCCCAGCAGGTCCAGGGGTTCCCAAAGGTGTGGACGGAGTCGGTGAAGGAGGAATGACATGGAGGCAGCATTCAGTTGACCAACATGGTTGGGTTCTCTCGCCTGGTTCTATCCAGGATCTCCAGCCAGGTTCTGTGTTTATTGTCTTATTACATCTGTATTTATACCAGTTGATTTTAATCCTATAAATTCTATTCCAAAGGTTAGGGCATTTCTTATCTCCATTCCACAGTTACTCTATTGTTCTATTAAGCTACAAGGAAGTAACTGAAGGAGATTATCCTAAGTAAAGATTATGTAGCTTAAGCGTGATTGTTCATAGTTAAAGTGATTAATTACCTGCCTGGCACTTAGTTAAGGGGTTTCATTCCCTCCCTAACTCCAGGGAAAAATCCCCACCTGGGGAAACAACCTTTCTCGGAGAGGTGACCTTGGTTAAAACACATAGCGCTAAGAAGGGGAGCAAACATATTAAGAACACTATGCTATATATGCCAGGTCCCTTGAAACATATGCTGTGCAGATGATTCTTCCCTGCAGTGACTGTGTCAAGCAGCAAGGATGGACCGGCTTCCGGCAATGAATAAGAATAGATCCAGAGACAAATGGCGGGGGGGGGGGGGGGGGGTGTAGAGAGCAACCAAAGGACTTGTACACATGCATATTAACATAATCAATGGACACAGACCCTGGGGCGGTGGGGGCTTGCCCAGGGTGAGAATGGCTGGGGGGAGAGGGTCAATTGGGAAAAAAAGAGACTTATGTAAAACTTTAGCCAATAAAAAAATTTTAAAAAGAATCAATATATGGTGCTCGCTTCAGCAGCACATATGCTAAAATTGGAACAATACAGAGAAGATTAGCATGGCCCCTGCACAAGGATGACACACAAATTCATGAAGCGTTCCATATTTAAAATTTTTTAAAAAATAAATAAAAAAGAATCAATACATGTAAAGCTCTTAAAAGAGTTTCTGGCACATGAAAAAGTATTCAATAAAGAGTTTACTGTTACATCGTTATTATCTTTAGATGACTCCTATTATGTCTATTTTATTATATCCTATATTATAGATGTTATTTATGTAATAGTTTATATATTATTTATATTATATATTTACTATGTATTATGGTATATTATGTATAATAAGTATATAAAAATTATGTGTTACTTACATGATATATAAATACAAAATTTATTTTATATTTAAGCAAAATGTCCAAGTCATTTGCTCAATTTCTTCATATCATAAAAGTATGTCATAACTAATACACAATGTCTAACTTTAATTTCAGAAGAGTAATCAGAGATACATTTATTTTCTCTTTTTCGTATCTTTTTTAAAATTCTCTAGTCCATCCAAAAGTCCTCTTGTTCAGCAAGAACTAATGGAAGACAGAACCAGCAGGTTTACCTGCAAAGGAAAACCAGTTTACCATTTCATGGGGATCAGTACCTTCTCTCAGTACACTGTCGTATCAGATACTAATCTGGCCAAAATAGATAATGATGCAAATTTAGAGAGAGTCTGTCTGCTTGGATGTGGGTTTTCAACTGGCTATGGAGCTGCAATCAACACTGCCAAGGTAAAATGGTTAATCACCACGTTCTATAAAACAGAAGTTATTAGGAGTCAGTGTGATAAAGCAGCTAGGATTATCTTCAAACCCTGGTTCTGTATTTATCATCTCTGTAATTTTAGGCAAGGTATCTAAACTCTTTACTTCTACTTCTGTATAATAATATCTATTACAAATTACTATGGGAAAACTAAATTGTATTGCATATGTAAGGCATCTGGCCCAGTGGGTGACATATTGTTGGCACCAAATTCATGTCCATTTCTTTTCCTATACTAGTACGTTTTATTATAGGTCAGCCCTAATTAAATAACAGCCTGCTCAAATATGTCCTCTAAATATGAATCCTCATCCTGAGACAGCAGATCCAGTCAAGAGATGAAACAAACTGCAGAGACCCCACCCACCTCCACATGGCCACGCCTACTTTCTCCCTGATGCACACAGGGATGCTACTCTTGGCCTCCCTCTGAAACATCACTTTTTCATTCATTCACTCACTCATTAAAAAAAATTGAAAGTTGTATGGGAAGCCAAACTATAATATGCAAGCTCCTGGAGGAGAAAGGTGATAGTTGGGTGGAGTTAACAGCCCAGGTGACCTTGGCAGTCAAGGCATATTCTCCTGTAGATGGCATTGGATTCTCAGGAGGAATTATTGCTCTTTGGGCTACACACATCCCCTTTTCTGGACACCATGCAGACTCTCACCTTCTACTGCTGTAATCTTTCTTCAGGAATATTAACACTAGAGATTCAGCTACAGTTTACTTTTTTATATATTTATATATTTCTTTATTGACTTCAGAGAGGAAGGAAGAGGGAGAGGAGATAGAAACATCAATGATAAGAGAGAAGTATTGATCAGCTGCCTCCTGCATGCCCCCTACTGGGGATTGAGCCCGCAACCCAGGTACAGTGGGGCCTTGACTTACGAGTTTAATTCGTTCCGTGATGGAGCTCGTAACTCAAATTACTTGTATGTCAAATCAAAAAGTGAATGAGTGAGACACGTGATGCTGGGCTGATGTTGTGGCATTCACTGTGACATTCGCTGTGCCAACTAGCGGTGGGGTATCTGAAGCTGGCTCGTAACCCGAATTTTAGCTCGCAACTCAAAGCAAAAAATTGGCCGAGAGATGGCTCGTATCTCGAAAAACTCGTTAGTCGGGACACTCGTAAGTCAAGGCCCCACTGTATGTGCTATTGGCCGGAATTGAACCCGAGACCCTTCAGTCCACAGGCCAACACTCTATCCACTGAGCCAAGCAGGCCAGGGCTATAGTTTACTTTTAAGTGTAGTCAAAGTTGATCTAAATTCCCATGACATGTTCTTCCTGCTGTTGAGGAACAGCTAAATGACCTCAGGAGGTGCTCAAAGAAGGAAAATAACTCATAGGACCACATAAAGGGATGTGAAATGTCAGTATTTCTAGATAAAAAGCAAGACCCTTACTAAGGCTTAATTTACTTCTGGGGGAAAAAGTGATGCAACTGCTCTGTGTAATTATTGGGGATCTTCCACAGCATGACCAGACCCTGATTTGTTTTAATGTGCTTGTATCATTTACAGCCAAATTAATTAAATTTCATGGATGTCTTTGGAAGTATGAAAGTGCCCTGTAACAGTGTTGCCTGGAGATAGAAAATCAAAAGGGGAGAGGGTATTTTATAGTGACCGCCCCAGTACTGCAATCAAAAGCACTTTTACTCTCAGGGGTCTGGTTCTATAACACAATCAGTGCAGTGTATTCAATTTATGCACTATTGTGAGCTGGCCTGAGAATCCAACTACTTAGCACAACATTGTGCAATGGGAAAAATGCTTTTCTACTCTCCATGAGACTTACAGGTGAGCTTTTTAACACAGTCTCTGGAGAAATATACTTGGAAATAAACTAAACATATGCCACAATATTACAGTAAATAGTACAGAATGTATATAAAACATTATTCTGAATATTTACCAATATATTTTTATTTCCCCTGAAAAGCAAAGGCTATTCTATACAGACCCAATGTCATGCATGAAGTGAGAGATGCCACTTCTCTTAGTAATTTTGTTCCCAATACGTCTCATAGGCAGGTTTTCTTCTTTCCCTTTTGCTTATGCTTTAATTTGAAAAGTTTCCCGTCATCATGAGAAAATAGTAATAGTAAGCATCTCTCTGTGCAGGTTCTTTGGGGGATTTTTTGCCACTATCTCACTCCACAGAGTAACATACTCCAGTTGGCATTACCTTCTGATTAAAGAATCAAAAAATATTTTGTGGGGAGAGTGTTATTTAAGTCAGGCCAAAAATATAAGGTGAAATAAGGTGAAAAGTACAGCAGGCTGAAGGAACAGCATGAACTAAGACATGAGGAAAAGAAAGTGAGACAGTGTGTTGTGGCCATAGTACTGAGAATATCATGGAGATGAAATCAGAAGGCAACAGGTGTCAGATAATAAAAATCCTCCAATGCCATGTAAGGAAATTTGGATCTCATTCCATTTAAATAATTTAATAATTGGGATGACTGAGTTAACTCACATTTAGAGCAATATCAGTGGTCATCAAAACTGTAACGTTAACACAACCAAATAAGGCCTATTAGAAATATAGACATCAAAGTACTTGTGATACACTTAAAAAGGCAAACAATAAACCCTTTACAGTGTGTGAGCTTTCAGATTTTGTTCTGATACCACTAGTTGGGAAATGAAACCAAGGAAATGATTTCCTTATAAATTGATGAGCCTAAGGGCACTCAAATGATTCTCCAAGTTTAGTCAGTGATTCATTCATTTTTACATTGGTAAATTTCCCACAAGTGGCTAAATCCCTTAGTCTTATGACAGGCAGTCCTTTATATGTTCCTGCCCCCACCTCACTCTGTACCTTTAAAAAAGGGGGACCAGCTAATTTAACTTATGATTTTCCTGCCTGCAGGTTACCCCAGGTTCTACTTGCGCCATCTTTGGCCTGGGAGGTGTCGGCCTTTCTGCTTTAATTGGTTGTAAAGTAGCAGGAGCTTCCAGAATCATAGCTGTTGATATCAACAGTGAGAAGTTTGCTAAGGCCAAAGCACTTGGAGCCACTGACTGCCTCAATCCTAGAGACCTACAGAAACCCGTCCAGGAGGTCATCATTGAAATGACCGGTGGGGGTGTGGATTTTGCACTTGACTGTGCAGGTGGATCTGAAGCCATGGTATGTATGTTTTTTATATTGGTACATAGTAAGTAATATTTATTAACATTAATAAACATTGACAGTATGTATCCTATCTAATAAAGTGGGAATATGCTAATTGACCCTCACACCATCGCAAAGATGGTGGTGCCCACAGCCAATAAGGAGGGAATATGCTAATTGACTGCCCCACCCTCAAAGATGGCAGTGCCCACAGCCAATAAGGAGGGAACATGCTAATTGAATGTCATGCCCTCAAAGATGGTGGTACCCACAGCCACAAGATTGCGGCGACCAGTCCCCTCAGCCCCGCCATGCACCTGCCTCCACAGTCCCCCAGTCCCCTCAGCACCCCCGCCACCCAGGGCCAGCCTGAGGAGCAGGTAACCAGGACCAGCCGAGGCTTGCGCTGCCGGCAGGGCAGCAGCAGAGGGATGATGGGGGCGTCACCTTCCCCTGATTGCCAGGTCACCTCCCACCCCTGAGAGCTCCCAGACTGTGAGAGGGGGCAGGCTGGGCTCTCAGCATGAATTTTCATGCACCGGGCCTCTAGTATATTAATATATTTATTCACTTTATAGTCAATATTAACATATTTGTATATACATAAATTATGTTTATATAATAATCAATGTTTATTAATAATATATTGGATATTATGTAGTGTGTTATAATTGATATTTAATCTATTAATAAATATTACAGATTACTACTTAATATTAATGTTATTATTACTTGTTTATTCTTCCACATGAAATTCAGAGAAAATTTAGAAGTGAAAATTTTTAAGGAATTGTGCCTGCAAGGAGTAAGCAAAACAATGAGAGCAGGAAAGGCAGACTTAAAGGAGGAGCAAGAGAATGTGGCTGGTGTCACCTTAACAGCCTGAGGTACACACTCCCATCAAAAAGCACAGCAGGGAGAGGCCAGCAACCTACACACAATCCATTCTGCCTGCCAGACCTCATAAAGGGGCTGCAAAATTAGGTCCAAAGTACATATTGACATTTTTAATATATTAAATACACACATGCTGCAAAATTAAAAGTAAATATTTTCTTCGCAAACACTACCATTTTGTATCATTCACGTTTCCTCTCCTCTCAGGTCGGCTCCCGGACTTGCAGGGCCTGAGAAGCTACCTCTGTCTAGTCTATTCTTTTTAGAGTGGGCAGAGCCACCCCCTCAGGCAACAGATGGACCAGTTGACTTGCCAGAGTGCCTAGAATCTTGTTACACCTTCACTCAGCCTGGCCCCTAACACCCTCCTTTAGGGAAGGTTTCATAATAAAAGTCTATGCCTCCACCAGGAGCTGGCTTTGCAGGTTCTTCCCCCTGGTGCTCACCTGACTGGTGAGGGCCCCAGAAGAGAGTGAAGACCAGCAAGAGCTGCTGAGAGGAGCAGGTTGCCCCTCCCAGAATAGGTCCATTGTAGTAACAACTGTTTGAAAGAGGATCTGGGAGGTAAATGTTAGCTCTTCCTGAAAACTCATTCATCAGCAGCTCCTTGTCCTGCAGTGCTTCTGTGTCAGGCCCTGCTTTTCACATTGTCCTTCTCACCTGCAGTTTGCAATGTGCCGCACCCATTCATTCCTACTCTTTCCACAGCTCAAGTTTTTTACAAATTCCGCCTCTTTACCTTATTTCCAGAGTACAGATATTCTCAACACTCGCTACCTTATAAGTGCCTGGGGCGTTGTTGTTTGTTAGTACCAGTGAAATGACCACACCTTAGACATTCTCATGAGTTGGGGGCCCAAGTACCAATGTATTTTACAAGTTTCTCAAACTGAGAACCACTGTCGTGAGACTTGGCAGGTTCTTTTATTAACTGATTATACCAAGAAATTCATTTTAAATTATGGAATAAAATTACACTAGAGAGCCCAAATTTTAAAAGATATCATTTATCTAATCGCAAAAAGATGAGCTAGCTACCTATCCTTTCACCAAAAGTTTCTGTAACTGGGGCAAGTTAAATTTCTGAGTTGTAGAGGAGATTTCAGTAATGGCTATGAACTAGATTTCAATGACCTCCCATGTTCTTAAGCAGCCAACAGAACTGAACAGAACAATTAGAAAGCTGCAATAATTGACAATTTATAAAATTTTTAGAATTCAAAATAATTCTGATCAAAAGTTATCAGAGGATACTAAATAAAACCCTGAACTTGCATATAATGCCCATTGAACTAAGTCTTCATTCTAGAGGTTAATTCTTTGCTTGGAGCAAACTTCAGAAATGTAGGAAAAGCAATAGGAAAAAAATTTTTTAAAAAACAAATCCATGTAAGCAGCTACCTTAAGGTGACCAGGAGTACCTAGTATTCTTTTCCCCTCAACATGAATCTATGTCATATATATAAACAAAAATGGTTTTACCATATAAAAATTGTAAAAAGGAGAAAAGTTTATATTCAGAAATGTTACAAATTCTCAAAACAATAAATAAGCACATAATCAAATGAAAATTTCAAAACATATTCTTAAGGTTATAGATGGTTGTAACTTCTGTCACTAGTAAGACACACAGAGAGAGAAGATGGAAAGAATTTACTGCTCTTCAAATTCCTTCTTTCATATAATAATCAGGGATGAAAAAGAACTGTACTTCCTGTTGGAACTGCCCCAACAGGTCAGAATCAAGTTGCCCCCTGACTATGGCAATGGGATATGACACAAAGTTTACATTTCTCTTCTACAATACTAGTCTCCAAACATTTTAAATGTTTCTCTAGTTACCATTGGGCATCTAAGCGGAATGGCCAGCCACAGTTTATGTCTTTCTTAAACGTTCTTAAACTTTTCATTTTCAATCCTTGGGAGTTTTATCCTCATCCCAAACTTGCAGTAGGCTAAGGTAGCAATGTTCTCTCTTTCTCTCATGCAAACATCAATGCAACTCCTCCAAGCCACTGTTTTCCATGTTGTGAGTCACCCATCAAGGAAGTTCAAATCTGTGGCTTCACAATCTCAACATGAGGTCCTCTTGGTTGTTACAGCGGAGAAGGGACACCTGGCAGGTTGCACACTGGCTTTTCTGTTTAGGCCAAGAAAGGACACATCACTTCTGCCCAAAGCCCACTGGCCAGAACTGGTCACATAAGTCCTGCAGAGAGCTTTAAAAAATGTAGGGAAGCAAATGAAATGTTTCATGAGCAGCAGCCAGCATCATTGTAACTGTTTTGCCCTCTATTTTAAATGGCTTTTCTTTTCATTTATCCTACATAGAGATCCACTAACTTTACAGTATATGCCTCATCCCAGGCTCTAGTGAATAATCACCCTCATCTCATGACTTTAAAGATTTTTATTCTATGCCCCCGAAATTGCAAACTTTTTACAATACACCCTTGGTAAATAGTCAAAAGTATGTTCATTTGAGTTTAGAATATCTTCTATAGACCATTCTTAATTTCATGGGGGTGAATTTTTCTTAGTATACAATGATATATGTCATAGATTCAGTATAATTATGATGTGGAACAAGATGAAATAATATATTCTGTTTCTTTCTAATATCCTTTTTTATTTTTAAATGTATTTGTATTGATTTCAGAGAGGAAGGGAGCAGGAGAGAGAGATAAAAACATCAATGATGAGAGAGAGAATCATTGATCAGCTGCCTCCTACAACCTGGGCATGTGCCCTGACTGGAAATCGAACCCTGACCTCCTGGTTCATAAGTCGATGCTCAACCACTGAGCCACGCAAGCTGGGTCTAATATCCCTTTTGGAAAAGCTCAAAATTTTATTGAATGTTCTATCCGAAGCAAAGCCTCAAGCGTTGGTCTACAACACTATGACCTCAGGTGCTTGACTCCCTTTATTTCATATGCAGAGTGTATAAATTGTCCCTGAAACACAGTACATAGTCACACTTTCTACTTACTCAGCTGGTCTTTTTTGTTTGACCTTCCAGAGAGCAGCCCTGGACTGCACAACAATAGGTTGGGGATCGTGTACTCTCATTGGAGTAGCCATTGGTGACAAAGGATTGACTATTTCTCCAGTAGAGATAATAATGGGCCGTACTATCAATGGAACATCATTTGGTGGTCAGTTATGCTTTTTCTGTTCATTTTCTCCATAATAGTACTCAAATTGAAATGAAAATAATTTGTTTAAATACTGAGTACCTAAAATACATCTAAAAACTATAGGAAAGCTATTCTAATAATTACTTGAAAGTAAACAGTTTGTATAGTAGAAATACTACAACTTGGAAACAGAAGTTCAATTTGCATTAAAATAAACCAACGGAGAGAAACAAAAGTCAAACTTGGACTAAACACAGATAATTTCTTATGCAGAAATATAAATAATCTTGAACTTTTCCTATGAATAAAAAATTTAAGAGAGATAAAAATAAAGAAAAAATAAATATGAGAGGGAGTTTGATCTATTTGGAGGAAACCAAATCTGACCAAATAATTTCATTCATTCAACAATGATTAATCTACTTGCTCATCTTTCAACAATGATTCTTTATTTGGACTTTTGACCAAATTACAGGTTTCAAGGGTAGAGATTCAATCCCAAAGCTGGTTACTGATTACAAGAATAAGAAATTCAACCTGGATGCACTGGTGACCCATACCCTGCCTTTTGACAAAATCAATGAGGCATTTGACCTAATGCACCAAGGAAAAAGGTAAATTACCGAACAGATGGGTACGTGGTTTGAAAAACCTTTATGATGACTCTATTTTTATTTGATGTTTAAATCTAATCAGTTTCTTTCCTGACATTTTTCACATCATCAGACACACTAGGGGTGCTTAAAAGATGAAATAGTGGCCATTTGGGGGGGAAACCCCAACATCACCTACCTTCCTATCTGTTTCCATAATGTACACTGCCATACGCTGTTCCAACATAGAGGGTGGCATAAATTGACATCCTTTCTTTCACAGACAATCATTAACTGAGTTGGGGCTGCTCCCTAGGAGAGAGGTTTCTATCCTGTAACATCAGGTCCCTCTGGTACAACATAGCCCGGCTCTGGAATCACTATGTTTGACAGAGTGCACCCTGCAGGCCCTTCCTTATCAGAATCAGGTGAAAACCACAGACATGTGAGCAGGGAGTGGCAGGTGTCAGATACTTAAAGGATGTCCCAACTCTCTCATCCTCTTGCTTTGTCAGAGGTCTCCTGTAAGAGACATCCGACCTACCATTTTAGCTGTAGTGTGCTCCCTTCCCATCAACCCTGAGAGCCGATTTATAGAACTGTCCCAACTGGGGGATCCCTAGCATTGGGGAGTGGATAAGACTGGGATCAGTGATTTTGTTAAAATGATCAAGCATAGCCCTGATCAATAGCAACAAAGGGCAGGACACCAGGAACAATGTTGCACAGAGGAGACGCAGGACAAGAGAGCAAAGAAAAGAGAAGACATTACAAAAGGGGGGTGGAGGACCTAGAGTTAGTTGGCAGGGGTTTGATGCAGAGAAGCAATGTCACAAAAGAAGAAAATAGGTCCATGGTGTGAGGACAGGATACTTCACAGGAAAAAAAACCTAAGAAAATGTCCCTAGTGACTGACATGAACTCCCTAATTTGAAACATGTTAGCTACAACATTCAATAAAAATAAAAGAGATAAACATGCCCTGGCTGGTTTGGCTCAGTGGATAGAGTGTCGACCTGCGGACTGAAGGGTTGCGGGCTCAATCCCCAGCGTGGGGCCTGCAGGAGGCAACCAATCAATGGTTCTCTCTCATCATTGATGTTTCTATCTTTCTCTCCCTCTCCCTTCCTCTCTGAAGTCAATAAAAATATATTTTTTTTAAAAAAAGAGAGAAATAAACATTATTTTTAAGCTATGCTAAGTAACTTAGTGTATAAGCCCTCCCAATATCTTGCACAGTGTCTAAATCTCTGTACTCCTCAAATGAGGAATTGGTTGGGTTTGGGGTCTTGGAACCTGGTGCTCATAACTCCTCCACCACTACCCCTTTGTCCCTGGGTTCTCAGTCATAGAATATACCCAAACAGCAATGCTAACTGGCAGCCAAATGCAAAATGTTGCATTGCTTTAGTAATAACTGGTCAAGTCTCCCATATTCTACAAACAGGCTTGGTAATCACTGGTAGAATGGAGGGCTACGGGAAACACCTACATGAGGCCTCCTACTCCCTCTTGTCCACTGAGAAGACCACCTGACTGCCCACACAGATGGAAAGGTGGCAACAGAGCAGGCAGGGGATGGGCCCTCCCAGGTGTGCTTACCACATGGGTACAGGAAACACAATGAAGGACAGGCCCTCTTGGCATGCCAACTGCATAGAAGCAAGGAAGTGGGGGAGAGGAGATGGGACACACCAATTGGCCTGTTAAGGTGCAGTGACCCCGACTCATGGTGAGGAGAGGACACAGAGCCTCTCCCCCCACAGGGAGGTGGCTCTTCCAGGCCCCGAGTGAAGAAAGCATTTATATATGGCAGCCCACAGCTCCAGCAGTAAGATCCAAGATAAGGAATTCTCTGTCCTTAAGGCTTACCCCCCATCTTGCTAGTACATATGGAAGGACTTATTCAAGAATTGGAATATTTTGATTCTCAGAAAGTAGCATCCCAACACACCAACCACCTCCTTTTGATGCCCAATTTGCCCTCGGCTGCAGGAGAGCCAAGAGCAGGGGCTATTCCAAGATGAAAACATCACTACAGCATGTTATGCTCTACTTCTCACAGCACCACGAGGCAGCCACGTCCTCACCCAGGGCAAGTGAGGTCCCCAAATCTCTCCCAGGTTATTGGCATCATATATAAAGTTTTATTAGTGCCAGGAGTAAAGGAGGATAACAAGATAAAAGAAATTAGGCTTACCAAATTGTGTGTCTATAAAGGAAGATTAAATCAAATCCCAAAAGGATAAAACAAATATTACTTGTGAGTTTTTGTTAAATTTATCATAAAAGTTGTACTGATTTTTTAAATATAATTATTAACAGCATTCGAACAGTCCTGACCTTCTGAAGAAGCCAGGAACAATTTGGAAGACTATCTGCCTGAATCTGAACCTGATAATCTGGTTAATTTATAATCTGATATGATGAACCAAAGATCACCATGAATTTAAATAAATATTTACAGTTAACATCTCAACATCAAATAGCTATAAAGATTATAGCATTTGTAGTAAAATACAGTAATAGTTCCTGTGCTAAATAACTATGATAACTGATGTGTTTATTAATAAAATTGTTTAAAACTAGTTCTGGAGAAATGGTAATAAAGAATAAAGAGGTAATAAGAAAACTAGATTAGCTACACATTCACAATATTTTAGGTTGGGTGATACATATACGGGGTCTCAGTACACTGCTCTACTTTTGAATATGTTGCACATTTTCCATAATAAAAAATTTTACTAGAAAAAAAATCATATATATATATATATATATACACACAAAAGGTACATATATCTTTAAAGTATATATCACATATATGTAATGCTGTTATGTAATTTCAGAGTTCCAATAAACTATGAGCTACTCTTCTTTAATAAACTGCTAAATAATTTCCTTTTTAACATCTGTTCATTTATTTTTATTAGCCCCACTTTACCTCTGTGAATTATAATCACAAGTAGTAGGATATTAGAAGCTATACAAATAAAAAACATGATGTTGAAGATTTTTTAAAAGTAAAAACACATCTAACTCTCAAATTTCCATCTTTACTAGATAATTGCTTTTTTCATCTTTGATAATTATTATAACACTAGAGGCCCATCTGTGCACCAATGGGGTCCCTCAGCCTGGGCTGCAGGGATCGGGCTGAAACCAGCTCTCCAACATCTGCCGAGGAATCCCGTATTGCAAGAGGGCACAGGCCAGGCCAAGGAACCCCTCTGGTGCACAAATCTGTGCACTGGGCCTCTAGTATGCATATAAGATCTTTGATTAATCTTTTCCCACCCTCCCCCCTCCCCCCTGCCCTCTGAGATTCATCAGTCTGTTCCATATTTCCATGCCTGTGGTTTCTGCTCCTGCGTTGAGTATCTGCCCCCTGGTGGTCAGTGTGTCATAGCGACTGGCTGGTTGGCCAGTCGGCCGGTCACTTAGCCTTTTATATATCTACTAGAGGCCCGATGCATGAAATTTGTGCATGGGTAGGGTCCCTAGGCCTGGCCGGCAATCAGGGTCGATCTGTGAGGTGACCAGCACGGCGATCGGGGTCCCCACTGGCACCCACCTTGGCTGGCCTGGGGCCTGTGGGCTGGGGGCAGCTCCTGTGCTGAGCGTCTGCCCCCTGGTGGCCAGTGTGCATCATAGTGACTGGTTGTTCCACCAGTTGTTCCACTGGTCATTACCCCTTTCAGTCAGTTTGCCTATTAGGCTTTTATTATATAGGATATATATGAAAGGCTAATATGCTAAGTGTCCCTCCTATTGTCCAACTGGTCACTATGATGTACACTGACCACCAGGGACAGATGCTCAATGCTGGAGCTGCCAAGCTGCAGTGACTTGGCAACAGCTGTTCTCAGGTGATGCACCCTGAAACCAGAGAGGAGGGAGCCCGATTCCTCAAGGGGCTGCATGATTCCACCTTTGGCCATGGGTTATATTGTTGCTGGGGCACTGATGGCCCCAAATCTGGTTTACTGCACCTGTGCATTTGTGTTCCACATCCTGTATGACAGCCACTTTGCAGAGTGCCCTCTTGCACTCCAGGACCCCTTGGGGGATGTAGGAGAGACGTTTTGGCCTGATCCCCGCAGGCCAGGCCAAGGGACCCCATCTGCTGGAAGGACCCCACTCACTCCACAGACGCTGGGGAGGGACCGCGGGAGGTTGGCTCCAGGGTGTGTCTGGCCCGTCTCGCCCAGCCCCATCCCTCCAGCCACCTTCTAATTAATTTCCTTTCAATGTACACAAATCCATGCACCAGGTCACTAGTATAGATATAATGTTTAGAGCTTTACGAAGTTTAATGATCTGTAATTTGCACTAAGTAATCTATTTTCTGTAGTCAACTAAAAGTGAAAAAAAGCAATGTACTTACAATAAGCTAATTAAGCAGAATATTTATAGCTACAAGATTTATCAGATAGTAAGATTTATATGAAAAACAAAATGAGAGTTTTCAAATGATTACATTCATTGATGCCACATAAACAGTTTAAGGATAAGACATAATAATTTGAATCAAGTAACAAAGACTAGTCCTCAGCTTAGCATAATTTATGAAACCTGCCAGTTTTTTTTAAAAATATGTACGACTTATTAACTTCAGAGAGAAGATAAACTTCCCTGAAGCTTTGCTGGGGAGGGTGGTAATATACTAGGCAGTTAGACAAACAGGAGCAGAGTAGAAACAACAGGCCAGGTACAAAGGGTCATCAGGGTGGAAAGTCCTGGGTGCCTAGCAACAGGCAAAACTGGGCTGGGACCTCCCCCGCCCCACCCCCAACCCCCACTTGACCTTTCCTCCCCTAGCACATCCCTGGTCTTGTGGCTTAGATCCCCTGACCTTTCATATCACTGGACATTTGGTTCAGATCCTCCCCTGACCTTTCATTTGCTGGTCATGTGGTTCAGATCCTCCCCTGATCTTTCCTCCCCGGGCACGTCACTAGCCATGTAGTAGACTCCCTTAGAAGAACAGGGGAGAGGATAGCCTCATAGGACTTCCATACAAGCCCTTACACAACCACTGCCTTAAGCATTAAGCCCTAAGGCCAGTCAGGTTCTGGCCCACATCAAACAACCTTAGAAACAAAGCCTCCAGCCTGTTGGTCCAACTAGAGATAAAATCTAGGCCTCAGCTGTGTTTCAGCTCTAGGCCCAGAAAAGCAGCAAGGCCAGGCAGGGCTAAGAATTGACTAATGACCTCCTGCCCTGACACCACCAATCAGTGGAGAACGGGACCTGAGGGGAACACCCTGAAAGCTGATGAATATTCTAATGAATCCTCCCCTGAAGCCTCCAGAAAAAAGCCCTTCAGAGGAAGGACCCAGCATGACTCCCTCTCTCTGGAGCATGCCCATCCTTTCCCCCTCTTCTTTCCCAGTGTTTCTCTCTCTCTCTCTCACACTCTCTCTCTCTCTCTCTCTCTCTCTCTCTCTCTCTCTCTCTCTCTCTCTCTCTTTCTCTCAAGAACACCCATGCCTCCTTTCCTCCCCCATTTTTTCCTCAAGAAATGTATACCTTTGCTTTCTTTCTTCTAAACTCAAAGTGCCCTTCTTTTGCCTCTGTCACAACTCACTTCTTCTACCTCTTTAAATTTCTAAATAAACTTTTGTTTGTATTTGAGTCTTGGCTCTAAATTCTTTTTTAGAGGTCTAACATCTGGTACTGTTTAATGTTAACAGGTAGTAATATCTTATAGTAGAAATTCACATTCCTGCTCATTTAAGATCCTCTTTCATTAGGAATGGAAGCAGTTAATCCATTTGTAAATGCTTCCTTTGTTAACGTTATGGTGAATGGAACCCATCCCAAAGATGGCTGGCCTTTCTCATGCTATTCCCTAAATCAGTTATGTTCTTCCCCCTCATCCCTTTGCCTTCCCCCCACCCCTTCCCACCCCCACCCCACCCCACCCCCGCCCCCCACCCCGGCTTCCTCCATCCTCCCCAGGTCTACCTTAAGACCCACCTCCTTTTCAGATCCTGGCAGCTACAAAGCTGTTTTCCCTCCCTGATCTCCTTTGGCTCTGAGTATCTTTAAGGCTCTTTTAACACATGGTGTGTTCACAGAACTGGAATGAGACTTGACCCCTCCCAAGGGGGAAAAAAATAAGTTACTTTAAAGGGTTGGTTTCTCTAACAAAATATGTAGGTCTTTCTTTTTTTTATTCTTTATTTGGTCTGACATCATTACACATCTTTAAGAATGTCAGTTACTAGGGTGGACAATACTTGACTTTAGAAGACAATACAATCACAATATATTCTTCTAAGAAGAAAACATATGCAGCTATAAGATATATTAACTGTCTCTTCAAACATCTTAGACCAAGCATATCAAACTTGGGGCCCACGGGCTGCATGTGGCCCACAATGAATAATTTTGTGACCTAGCCAATATAATGGTATGTAAGAAACATTTTAACAAAAATTTTGTCACTTAATTTTTACAATATCCTGTTATATATAATTATTAATAACAAACTATAACGTTCGCTAATGACTGATTACTATAATCATGTTGCATTCATTTCCCTTACATGCCTTATGCGCAGGTGCACCATTTCTCTCCACTAATACCAGCCGCGAATATTTTAGCAGCCGATTGCCACGTCTTTAGTCTTGTACTGACTTGTTTGGTACTTGTTTGCGCAACAGGAAATATTTCGCTTTTGGAGAACAATGAAAATAGGTTTATTTATGTTACGCTTATTAATCTGTGCAGTTATTCAGTGTCTGGTAAGTTAATGTTCAAGAAAAAATATTAATTTTTATTAAAATGTTCTATTATTTTATGTTAATGATTACTCATTTATTTCAGCCCTTTGTATTCAGCATGTCTCTATTGAAATAAACCTATGTTTCTATGAAAATTGAAGCTTTTGTTTTTTTGCAGCCCACATAAACTCAAACCTTGTTTATTTGGCCTGTGTTAGCCTTTAAGTTTGACAGACTTACACTGTCATTGTTTTCTAAATGCTACTATAGCGCCCTCTGGTGATATTTTTATTTAACATTTTTCCATCTCTTAGATCATATTTTCTTTGAAAAAAGGAATGCAGGGAGAAAGTAACAACTTTTATTAACATCCATAGGCCTGGTGCACGACATTCGTGCCCTCTCGCAGCCCAGAAGCCCTCGGGGGATGTCTGACTGATGGCTTAGGATCACTCCCCATGGCAGGGAGAGGCTCCTGCCATGCCCACTGTGCTCACCAGCAATGAGCCTGGCTCAGGTCTTCTGGCTGAGAGGCGCTCCCTCTGTGGGAGCGCACTGACCACCAGGGCAGCTCCTGCATTGAGCATCTGCCCCCTGGTGGTTAGTGCACATCATAGCGACCAGTCATTCTGGCGTTTAGTCTATTTGCATATTAGCCCTTTATTATATAGGATAGTTGACATTTTAAAAAGTACTTTATGTGCATTATTTTGTCTGATTTTCCAAATTTTTCACTTGGCCTCACTTCTTGAGGAAAAGGCCATTTTTTATATTCTTTGGGTCCCCTGAAGACAGCAGGCCTCCCAACAATGAGCCTATGAGGAAGGCAGGGCCAAATTCATTAATCTCAGTGAATGAATCCTGTGTTACAGGAAAAACAGACATTTTTATGATATTTTTCATAAGCAAGTCAGAAAAATCTTGAAGATTTCATAGAATGTAATATTATCTTAATGATGTATAGTAACAGTTAGGAAATGTCCCTGTTCTTAGGAGATACTTGCTGAAGAAATTAAGGATGAATTTTATGAAATTTTAAACTTCCTTTCATATAGCTCATCAAAAGTGTGTGTGTGTGTGTGTGTGTGTGTGTGTGTGTGTGTGTGAGAGAGAGAGAGAGAGAGAGAGAGACAGAGAGACAGAGAGAGACAGAGA